AAAACAGGCGCAATGGAAAAGGCCCTTACATTAGTGAGATCTGTTTAGCTTGCAAGATTTAGAAACTCGGTTCTAACTCACTCAAGAAAACAAAGAGCAAAGGGTGGGTGTGGTGTGGGAGGGAGCCAGGGATGGTCGCCGTTGCATCCCCAGGCTCAAGAAATGCCATCACACCTACTAGGCCAGCTTCTCTCCCTCTCTCAGCCCTGACTCCCTCTAAACGGCCTTTATTCCCGGGCTGCCCCTCCACACGGTGGCCATCGCGACGCCTCCTTAGAGAAAACAACAAGCTGAGGGAAGGGATGGAGCCTCCTCTGTGGCTTCACGTGGGACGCTCTACTCCACGACTGCAGAACTGCCTTGCTCAGAATTCTACGGTGGTCTCAAAACAAGGGAATGCTTCAACAAGGCACAGAGGGCGTGGTGACCCGAGCTATCACCTTGAGGCCCCTGTGGCAAAGGGCGCTGCTGTGTGTGCCAACTGTGTGGCCACAATCCTCTGAAATGAAAGGCTGTGTATCTAACCTTTAAAGTGCATCAAGTTCAGCTTGCAGGGCTCTGGGAGCAGGTGACAGGGGTGAGGAGTTCGTATACGGAGGGAGGGTACGGGTGTCGCGGGGAACGATGGCATGTGCCCCACAGAGCTGTTCAGCTGTGCTAAGATGCCAAGGTTGGAAAATAAATGCCACCGCATGGACAGTAGACTGGAACACGAGATTACACTCAGACACTTTGCGATAAGGCTCAGTCCTTGGGGCAGAGGTGTGGCAAGCATCCCTTATCCCTCCCTTACCCCGTACCTTTCTCTCTTTAGGAGAATACATGATCAAATCTTGCAGGAGGAAGCTGGGGATATGGAAAGCCTTGGGCACTTTGTTTCTGTGCCAGCTCCTCTCGTAGGTACCTCCCAGAGCTAAGGGTTTGCTGCCCCCCAGCTCAGTGTAGACATGCACAGCACCCATGTGTGGCTTTGTACGAGCACACGATCACGCCTCTGCAATTACACATCGACTGTCTCCCTACCCTCTAGGCTCTAGATGAGGAAGAACTGAATTCCTGTCAACTTTGTGTGCCCTGAACCAGCACTGTGTTTGTTAAACAATGGCTATTTAAATGTTCGATAAATGGCTAGAAAATAAACCAGTTCAAAACTAAATTACGGGGTTTCCCTGGTAGCGCAGTGGTTAAGAATCCACCTGCCAACGCAGGGGACACGGGTTCGAGCCCTGGTCCGGGAAGATCTCACTTGCCGCGGGGCAACTAAGCCCGTGAGCCATAACTACCGAGCCCGCGAGCCACAACTACCGAGCCCGCGAGCCACAACTACTGAAGCCCGCAAGCCTAGAGCCCATGCTCCACAAGAGAAGCCACCGCAATGAGAAGCCCATGCGCTGCAACGAAGACCCAATGCAGCCAAAGACAAATAAATAAAAATAAATAAATTTATAAAAGAAAAAAAACTATAAATTACTAAGGAGAAAAGAGAGGCGAAACCAGGCAAAAGATTTACTGAAAAATGTTCTGAAAAGGCAATTAAATTACTATATACTCACATCACAAGAGTAATTTACTTAAATCCAACAATCACAACAAATATTTATAAATCACACACTATGTGCCAAGTGCCATGCATGGCACTGAGATTATAAAGACAAACGTGAATGAGTCTGATATTCTTCCTTACTTTAGGAAACGGAACCCTTTAATTAGTTGCATGTGGGTATGACATGGCGTAGAAGGGAGAAAGGAGGAGAGAGTTAAAAAAAAAAAAGAGTTTAAATTGTTAAGAATTACATTATGGAGCTCTGTGGACACTTTTCCTGTGACCCTTAAATTTGGCGGGATCTCACTCACCAGCAGGGGTGGTAATAACGGCTGATCTCATCTTTCCTTTAAGCAAAGGATCCCAAAGCCGTGGTGTGCATCCTGCCTGCCCCAGCGACAAATTTCTCACCTGTCTGCTGAATCAACCTGCTGGCAGTGCCCCAAAGCAGGAAATAGGTGGCCCTGCCACCACTGCAAATTCTGGCTCTGTGGACCTTGTCTCTCCTTAAATTTTCGACGCCACCACATCACTTTAAACCAGACCACCCCAGGAGTTAGACCGGGGCTTTGCAAACTTTAGTGTGCAGAGCAATGCCTGGGGATCCTGTTAAAATGCAGACTCTGCTTCAGGAGATCTGAGGCCTGGGATTCTTCCTTTCTAATAAGTTTCATGGAGGATGCTCTCTTGGGAAGACCACACCCTACCAGAGAGTTAGAAGGCAATGGAAGGATGCAAGAAGATACAGCTTGGGCTTCCCTGGTGGCGCAGTGGTTGAGAGTCCGCCTGCCGATGCAGGGGACACGGGTTCGTGCCCTGGTCCAGGAACATCCCACATGCCACGGAGCGGCTCGGCCCGTGAGCCATGGCCACTGAGCCTGCGCGTCCGGAGACTGTGCTCCGCAACGGAAGGGGCCACAACAGTGAGAGGCCCGGGTATCGAAAAAAAAAAAAAAAGAACAGCTTGTCTTTCTATATTTCCTGGATATACACACCCTTGCCTTCCCCGACACTAAATTCAAATGACAGTAAAGAATTCTGAGTAACGCAGTTGTGCTATGCATAGGCATCAGGGTGCCTGCAGGACCTGTCTCAGAAGTCTACTTACAATAAACACGAGATCTCTTCCTTAGTCATAACATCCAGGGTTCTTTCTTACAGAAAGTGTTGTGGGCCAGAGCCCAGATCACTAGCATCCCAAATGAGGGAGAAAGAAAAATGTCCAAGGTAAAGGCCATCTGGGGAGCTCCCACTCACTCCCTCTCCTGCTTAAGGTAGAGACGCGTTTTTCGGATTCTCTTCTGTACTTCAGTGAGAGTAAATCTGTCCTTAAACAAGGGCGTCAGGAGAACCTTCAACCAGAAACTCTGCAATTCCTTAAGACTTGCTTGTTAGGATTAGATAGGGAAGACACTGTTGAGGGAGAGAAGGAATTGTCAGTCCTTTGAATCCGGGCGGGAATGCAAGCCAAGAGGGCCGCCTTAGAAAGCTGCTTCTCAGATCTACCCAGAGCCAGTGGTGCTACCAGACGACACAAGCTGGTCTGCTGAAGGCCTGCTATGCAGCATGAACGTTACGATTTAGCACCATCTCGGATTTTACCATCCCATTTTGCAGAGAAGTCACCTGGGAATCTCAGAGAGGTCATATAACGCACCCAAGGCCCCACAGCTTATGGCGGGCTAAGGATGTGAACGCTGCCCAAAGCCATAGTGCGGCCTTTCCAACAATGCTTAAGGAAATATCTGAGGTAGGTTTCCAAAAGCTGCGGGGCATTCAATCCCAACGTAGCCCCTAGACCCCGCCCTTACACGGACAGCTGGACCGCCCCGAGGCTGAGGGGGGAGGGAAACCAATGCCGGGGAACAGCCGCCAAGAAGGCCAAGCACTTCCGGTACACAGCAAATGAGGGTCGTTCAGGGTCAGCAAACTTGCAGGTGAGGGCCGGCCCGCACGTGGCGCATAGGGACTAAAATGCATCCCGAGGTATCCGAAGACAGTATGACTCAAGACGAGAAAGTCTTATCCCTTACCCGCCCTAGGGGACACCAAGGTCAAGCGGCCGAGGCCGCGCCGCCATGTCGAGTCCAGCGGTTTAAGTGGAGCAGGCGGAGCCTAGCGGACGCCCGCGTCGGCGCGATGACGTCACAGGCCCGCGCGGGTAGTCCGGCCTCAATCCCTTCTGCGGAATCTTCCTGGGAGGGCGTGGTCCGGCCCTGATAGGCGGGTCCGGGTTGAGTGACGGCCCTGCCCCGCCTTCCGGATATGGGACGGCGGGCTGCGGGTGGCGGGGGACGGAGTTCTACACGGAAGTGCCTCAGGCCTGAATTGGTAGGGCGGAGCGCGGGGCGGGCGAGGGGTAGGTTCCGGCCCCCCGGAGGCGGCTCCCGGGGGAGTGGAGTGTTGCAGCAGCGACCCTTGTCCCGCCACCCCCAGACCACAGGATGGGGGGGGCCTGGGCCTGCGTACGCGGGGTCGGCCCCCCTGGAGACCCATCCCCTTCTCCCCTCTCCAGTCTGAGGAAATTAAACCCAAACCGGGGCTCGGCTGCAGCGATTGAGCCTCCTTTCGCACAGGGCCTGGCTCTGCGCATCAGAACGAGGGTTTTCGGTTCCTAAATTCCAGGCCGGGGCCAAGTGCCTAATCTGAGGTCCCGGGACCTCCGAGAAACCCCTGAGGGCATCCAGGGGGAGCAGTTTGGGGGGGCACTGTTTTATACACGTGGTGAAATCGTTCCCCCTGAAATTTCGTGAAATAGTTTCATTGTTAGATTTGTTGCAAGTATCAGGTGATGCAGATGTCATTTCTTTGAGCCTCCAGTTGCCCTCGCCAGTCATGACCTCAGTTTGTCTTGAGAAACTTGGCTATGACATCCACTGCATCGTTGAATAATTGAGTATTGCATTATTGAATAATTGAGAGCATCAGGTTAAAAAAACAAAACAAAACAACAGCAACAAAAAACGGATACTCACGATGGAAACGGTGGGGAGCCGAGACGTTTTAAATTCACTGATGCACTCGCAAAGAGCACATGTGTCTTTCATTTGAAGTTTGCTACCTTCTCTAATGATTTTACCAGTAGCCCACACCCCCAAAAGTATCAAAAAGTCAAGAAAAAGGACCAAATGCCTTGCCAATGGGAATTTAACCATTTGGTTTTTGCCAAGTAATTAAAAAGTAGGTTGCATAGTCTATGTACTGAACAAATATAGACTGTTGTAGTTTTTTTTTTAATTAATATGATTGTAGTGGGTCAAAGTGAGAGAGAGAAAAGTTTCCTTGAAAGATTTGGGTGTTTAATTAGACTTTAATTGAAAAGATTATGCTTAGAACAGAGAATTCTGTATATAAAAGAAAGCCTTGGAATGATGACTAGCATAAGAGTACACAGCATGTGGAACAAACTATACCAACTTAACGGGCATTTTGGGGTTTTGTGTCACGAATTTCACAGCTAGAATGAAGCACATCAACTTATCCTTTGCAGCGTGTGGGTTTCTGGGCATTTACCACTTGGGGGCAGCATCCGCACTTTACAAACACGGCAAAAAGCTCCTGAAGAATGTCAAGGCCTTTGCCGGGGCTTCTGCTGGATCCTTGGTTGCTTCTGTCCTGCTAACAGCGCCACAAAAAATAGAGGTAATTAAGTAGTAACTAGGCTGTGCTTCTCATCCAGAAATTATGCCCAAACAACGAAGATGATTGTTAACTATATACTAAGTTAACTGCAGAGAAATAATCCTTTGCCTGAGAAACAGAAAAGGTTGACTTCTTTTAAAATTTAGTCATTCGGGATCTCTGCTCTCCATTTGGAAAATATTATTATTTTGGGTGACAACAAGACAAGGAAATAAAATCCCTTCTTTTACTCTTGAGTGTTTATCTAGTCTTAAGATTCCAGCTTTGTTTCTTTCAAGCAAAGGATATTTCTCCATTAACTCATCATGAGAAGAGCACAGAGCCTGTTCTCAAGGCCTTGAACATGTGGCTGATAAGTCTTTGCTTGCTCCTATTTACAGACAGGGCATATAAACTAAAATGTTGGCCTGTAATCTCTTTTTTTTTTAAATTTTTATTTATTTTTGGCTGCGTTGGGTCTTCGTTGCTGCACGTGGGCTTTCTCTAGTTGCGGCGAGCAGGGGCTGCTCTTTGTTGCAGTGCGAGGGCTTCTCATTGCTCTGGCTTCTCTCGTTGCAGAGCACGGGCTCTAGGCACACCAGCTTCAGTAGTTGCAGCACGCGGGCTCAATAGTTGTGGTGCACAGGCTTAGTTACTACGCAGCATGTGGAATCCTCCCAGACCAGGGATCGAACCTGTGTCCCCTGCATTGGAATGTGGATTCTCAACCACTGTGCCACTGGGGAAGTCCCTGTAATCTCTTTTAAGAGGAATGATATTGAAATTTAATTTGTTTTTCATTCCCCCAGTAAGAAGAAGCCCTGAATTCCAAGCAGTTTATCTAGAAGTAATAAAAATAAGCGTTAAGTATTTCATTTAATGTAATCTATGTTTTTAAAGTCTGTTTTCTGCTTCTAGACAGACATCATGCATTCTCTGACTGTGAGAACTGGCTTCTGCAGGTGGAGAATATTCTATTTGTTAATTACTTACATCCTCTAGCAGCTTGGAATAGTAATCAAATAATGATTAACATTTCCGTGCCCAAGGATGAATTTGTCACATTTAAATGTTGAAATCCACAACATTTTAAACATCAGAAATCTTATTTTCAAATCTCTGATGAGCTGCTTATGGAAGAGAAACTGGACTTTAGACCAGTTATTCAGAAATCCACTGCTCTTTTTTTTATGTACTAGAAAAGTGATGGAAAATTTTAGAGATTGTACAGGATGAGAGTGTGAAGTCAGGGAAAGTATACATGAAGTGTGCAAACTCCCCCCAAAGTAGCAGACTCAGGTGCTTTGAAGTGCAAGCTAGTCCCTCCCAGCTCTTTATTTCCTTTCTGAAGCAGGGGGCTACTAAGGGGGTGTTTACTCTTGTTCAGTGCAGTCTTTCCTTAGGTGGGAGCAAATCCCGAGCTTTGGATTTGGGTAGATTTGGTTTCGAATCCTCAGCAGATTTCAAAATGTATTAAGTGTGATTTAGAATTAGACTGATTTGGAAATACTGTGATCATATAGCCCCTTCACTGAAATTCTGTGATGTTCAGACATTCAATCCTTTACCTGAAATTGAGACTTTTGATATCAGTCCGATTACCTGTTCTTATTTACATTTTCGGTAAATTGGAGATCCAGTCGTATTGTCTCATTGTGTTGGTCAGACCTTAGGGGTAACTCTTTATCGGGCGCTCACGTTGGCAGGTGGAAAATGATTCTCTGGATTCACCTAGGGCATCCTCGTTTCTCCTTTTTCAAAATCAGTTTTCAGCCATTTGCCTTGAGGTTACTTTATTTCTTTTCTCTTGAGCATTTGAAATCTACCCCTTGAAGGATGGCTTTGAGCTTTCTCAGGAAACTGTTTTCTACCTACTCAAGTCCCTGTTAGCTCAGTTCTCCCTGTTGGTATATAAGTTCTTCGAGCTTTGTGGTGTTGTGACAGAGATGTGAGTAATGAATCCAGCTCCGAGCTGGTGCATGTATAATTAAGACCAGCACCTGACACTGGTGTATTTTAGGTGGCAGGCAGATTTAGACTTTGATATGTTAAAAGCTCAGCGCAGCCGGCCTTTCCTCAGCCCTCAGAATTTGCCAGGCATGGCGTTAGACACAGCAGGGAGCTAACTCAAAGATAAGTGCATTCCTTAATAGGTTTCCAAAAATAATACAAGAAAATAAGCTGGGTGTGCGGTGTGGCTTAGTAGAAAGAGCATACACTGGGGGAGGGCCACCCCCATTTCTCACGTAGAAGTCTACAGCGGCTTCTTGAACAGGCAGGCCTGCGTCTGCCCCTGCTGCCTACAATCCACCTACCTAAGCATTCAGAGTGATTTCACCCAAACACAAATCTGAACATCTCATCCTGTGACCTCCCCCTCTCCCACCCCTGGGATCCCTGTTGACTCAGGATGGGGTGCAGATTTCTTTTTTTTTTTTTTACTTTTTATTTTATATTGGAGTATAGGGGTTTTTTTAACATTTTATTTTATTTTTTATTTATTTATTTTTGGCTGCATCGGGTCTTTTTCGCTGCCTGTGGGTTTTCTCTAGTTGCGGCGAGCGGGGGCTACTCTTCGTTGCAGTGCACGGGCTCTAGGCACGCAGACTTCAGTAGCCGTGGCTCGTGGGCTCTAGAGCACAGGCTCAGTTATTGTGGCTCGTGGGCTCAGTAGTTGTGGCTCATAGGCTCTAGAGCACAGTCTCAGCAGCCGTGGCGCATGGGCCTAGCCGCTCCGCGGCATGTGGGATCCTCCCGAACCAGGGCTTGAACACGTGTCCCCTGCATTGGCAGGCAGATTCTCAACCACTGCGCCACCAAGGAAGCCCTGGAGTATAGTTAATTAACAATGTTGTGATAGTTTCAGGTGTACAGCAAAGTGATTCAGTTATACATATACATGTATCTATTCTTTTTTAAATGCTTTTCCCATGTAGGTTGTTACATAATATTGAACGGAGCTCCCTGTGCTATACAGAAGGTCCTTGTTGGTTATCCACTTTAAATATAGTAGTGTGTACATTGTCAGTCCCAAACTCCTAATTTATCACTCCCCCCATCCTTCCCCCCAGTAACCATAATTTCATTCTCTAAGTCTGTGAGTCTGTTTCTGTTTTGTAAATAAGTTCATTTGTATCATTCCTTTTTAGATTCCTCATATAAGTGATATTATGTGATATTTTTCTTTCTCTGTCTGACTTCACTCCGTATGACAATCTCTAGGTCGATCCATGTTGCTGCAAATGGCATTATTTCATTCTTTTTAATGGCTGAGTAATATTCCATTGTATTTATGTGCCACATCTTCTTTATCCATTCATCTGTCGATGGACATTTAGGCTGTTCCCATGTCCTGGCTGTTGTAAATAGTGCTGCTATGAACATAGGGTTGCATGTGTCTTTTCAAAGTATGGTGTTCTCTGGACATATGCCCAGGAGTGGGATTGCAGGATCATATGGTAGCTCTATTTTTAGTTTTTTAAGTAACCTCCATACTGTTCTCCATAGGGTCTGAGATTTACATTCCCAGCAACAGTGTAGGAGGGTTCCCTTCTCACCTGGGGTGCAGATTTCTTAGTATGACTCCCAGGGCCACGTGGACCTTAGCCCTCTCATGGCTCACTGAGGTTGCCTCTCTGGTCTCTGCCCCGTCTGAGCTGCTTGCACTCTTCTCACCGCTACCTCTGCCTGTTGTCGTCTGCCACCTCCATCTCCTGTCCAACTCCTGTCTGTATCTTAGGTCTCAGCCTAGCAAAGTGAGGTTGGAGGTTGATGCCCACTGTGTTAGCTCCCAGTTGCTGCTGCAACAGATGACAGTAAACATAGCAGCTCTGAAAAGCACACGTTTATTTTCTGACAGTTCTGGAGGTCAGACGTCTGAAAAGGGTCTCACTGTCTAAAATCAAAGTGTCAGCAGGGCCACGCTCCCTCTGGAGGCTCCGGAGGACAGTGTGTGTCCTCGCCTTTTCCAGGTGCTAGAGGCGTCCTGCCTTCCCTGGCTCTGGCTCCTTCCTCGATCTGTAAAGTCATAAGCATAGCATCTTCACATCTCGCCAACTCTGACCCTCCTGCCCCCCTCTCTCCCTTACAAGGACCCTTGTGATTATATTGGGCTCACTGAGATAATCCAGGAGCGTCTCCTGATCTCGCAACCCTTAACTTAATCGCATGTGGAAAGTCCCTTTTGCTGTGTAAGGGCACCGATTCTCAGGGTCCGGGGCTACCCTAACCTTCGGGGGAAGGAGGGGACGTGAATCTGCCCCATACGTGGATGCTCTCCTGGCGCCCTGCCATCTCCTCACCGAGGGACTCCTCAGTCCCAGGAAGGCAGGGGCTCTGTGTATCTCATGCTCAGCCATTGAATCCCAGTTCCTAGCCCACCGCCTGGTGCCCAGTAGGTTGCTGAATGGATGAACTAATAAATGAAAGATAGACCTGGGTTTAAATCCTGGCACTGACACTCATTTTTGATAGTACAGTGGGAAAGATACTTAACCCTCCAAACATCAGTTTTCTTACCCATCTAGTGCGGTGATTATACCCACCTTGAATTGTTATATGAAGACGAGGCAACAGAGGCCACATCAGTGGATCCTAGCACTGGCTGCCTGTTAGCCCCGACAGGGGGGACTTTTATGAAAGACCAGTGCCCCAGGCTAATCTCCAAGGACTCTGATCTGGTAGAGTCATCGTAAGTCCTTCCTCTGTTGTTGGTGGTGGTGTGAATCGTCAGCACTGTTGTAGAGCTGCAGTCCGAACGTTCCCGAAGCCACAGGATTGGGGTGGGTGAGGAATTTAATTATGTTGGAGAAGCCTGTAGAGAAATGTGCTCAGTTACAATTAGAACCCAGCCCTCAAGGATTTTCCACAGGTGGGCAAAGCCATGTGAGGTGGTTTAAAAAGAAAAAGAAAAAAAAAAAAAAGATTGCAATTGGCAGACCATATAGCTTGCCTAGGGCCCAGGAATGGTGGGTGAGGGACAGGCCTCGTGGGGATGCGTGCCTGTGAAGCACCCGACATCTGGGGTTGGCTTTATACAGTCCAGGTGCCTTGTGTGATAGGCACAGGGTTCTGGAACCAGAATCGTAATGTTTTTGACAAAACAAAGGGTCATCTATTAATTTTCTTTTTCAGGAATGTAACAAGTTTACCTACAGTTTTGCCGAAGAAATCCGAAGGCAGACTTTTGGGGCAGTGACACCCGGCTATGATTTCATGGCCCGACTGAGGTACATATATAGAGTACATTCCCCCGCCCCCTCCCCCAAGCCTGTGAAGACAGAGGATGCTCTGGATACGTTGTAGCAAGCTCAGTCAGCATTCTTTCTCCTGAAACATTTACAAGGCGGCCAGTAATTAAAGGTGAGTCATGCAGTGCGTGGCCAAGCCACTCAAGATGGCTGTTCTCTTGCTCTCTGTACATCCACTGCTCTACCAGTCCTTGCTTCATCTGCACCCGACTCTCACAAACGTGCTTGCCTCCTGCCCCAGCTTGTGACTGTCCTAATCCTTGGGCCAGAGTGGCTCCACCTGGTAGTTTATTAAAGGGAGATACCTGCCCTCCACGATGGGTGTTAACCTGATGGGCTGTGAGCTGCTAGTTTCTGTGGTAACAGATGAACCCACCTGACATCAATTCCCCATATAAATGGTGGCCTCCTTCGCCCCCGGGTGGCAAAGATGGCTGCTTTGTCGGGTCTGCCGCCTGCTGAACATGATAGGGCGTCTCTCCAGGACTCTTTTGCTTTGGACATGTAAGATCCCCCGTCCAGTAAGCCATAGGTGTCGCTGTCACTGTCTCCGGGCTCTTTCTCGGGTCTCCAGTCTGGGCAGCTACAAAGCTTGCAGGCCGGTGGGCCGCAGCGGGTCCCTTTTTCTTCTTCAGGAGCGGAGTGGAGGCGATTCTCCCTCCCAACGCACACGAGCTGGCTCACAACCGCCTGCACGTCTCCATCACCAACACCAAGACCAGAGAAAACTACTTAGTCTCCAGTTTTCCCTCCCGAGAGGACCTCGTTAAGGTAACACAGCCGCGTTCCTTGTTGGAGAAAATGAGCAAGTGCTTATATACATCCTTCCACAAACAGTGAGCGCGCCCGCGTTCTTTAGACCCAGCATTGCATACCAGGCCTGATAGATGGTACATGCTCTGTAAATCCTGCATCTGACGGATGCATCCGCCAGTATCCCTCCAAGGCCACCTTATGGCAGGTGGCTCCCAGAGGCCTCCGGAGTAGCTCAGCGATTTTTCTTGTGATGTTCCGTGTGCTCACGTTTATCCTGGGATTAAACTTGAGTAGCAAGAACCCTTCCTTACACTGATGTAGATAATACTTCTGCAGTTTGTGTAAGACTTTGTCTCAGTACGACCGTATTCGGTCCTTCCACAGCCCTGTAAATCAGGCAGGACAAGTGAGATTACTGTCCTTTTGTCGCTTTTTTAAGAGAAGAAATGGGTGGAAAGATTTTGTGTGACACACCCCAGGGTGTACTGATTGCCAGTGGGAATCCAGGTCTCTTACCTTTTCACTCTAATGTTCCCTTTCCTTTCTTCCATTTTGCGTTGATGCCTTTCTACCCAAACACATGTGAAAGTTGGTTGGGAAATCATTGTCTCTGGGATATTTCAGCTGATTTGCAAATAACAGTGCATTGCTAAGGTAATACATTAAATATTTTACATTTGAAAGGGTGCACTTCTCTTAGAAAAGCCAGGCTATTTTCTTCTTTTTCCTCTTGTGGGAATTGTAGCAAGCTTCAGGTGATACAGAGGACGCGTGTTTGGATACAGCAGCAGGCGATGGATTGAGAGAGCTACAAGTTCCACCTGAATTAGATGATATATGCATTGATTTTTACTATCAAAACTCACTGTTCGAATTTTATGTTTGAATGATATGATTTGAAATACCTAATGAAATGTTGAGCTGACAAGTAAAATTACTTTGTGACTTAAGAGATTAGAATATTTTCACTCCCGTCTCTCACTTATACATTAATAGTCATTCCAGCTTAGAAAAATATTTTTCTATAATATTATTATACTCTTGTGTAGGCTTAAAAAATAGAAAGGGAGAAGCTGATAATCCGTGCCTGAATTGTCACAAATTGTCAGTGCCAACGCAGATACATCAGGCTTGCAGTGGTTAGAATACCTCTTCTCGTTGGTAAGAGAACAAGGTTGGGAGCAAAAGACTATCATCCTATCATGAAACAAGAGGGGAATCTACCCACAGTTACTACCTTCTCCTTGAGTCTGTCCGTGGCCACTGTATCTACAGTGGCCGAGCCCCTGCTGTTTCCTGTATCCCGCCCTGATTTACTTACCACTGTTCCGCATACGAATTTTACTGCTCTGTTTACTTAGTTTTTGTCTATCTTCCTTCACGAGAGTGTAAGCTCGGGGTCGGGGTGTAGGGTAGGAGGGTCCAGGGACTGCTGTGTTCGGTCCACTGCTGTATTCCCAGCGCCTGGCACAGTGTCTTCTCCGTCAACCTGTGCTCCATGGGTGAATGGGAATGAATAAACCAATGAACTAAGATGGCATCTATTAAAAGAATGAAGAAGCTGGATCCTTCATGTTCAACGATCTGGACAAAACGTAATTCAGCTCATTAGTGGCCCAGCTGGGACCACAGTCCAGGCCTCTAACATTCTGCTTGGTAGCCATGCCCCCCTCTCCCAACACAAGATAAAAATCACCCTCTTAATTCCTTTCATGTGGGAGTGTCGTGAGCTGAATGACGTCCCCCAAAGATGTCCACGCTGTAATCCCCAGGACCTGTGAATATGGTGTCTCACATGGCAAAAGGGATTGTATAGATGAGGTGAAGGTGAGGGTCTTGATGGGGAGGTGATCCTGGGTTTTCTGGGCCGGCCCAAACTAATTTAATCACATGTGTCCTTAAAAATGGAGACGTTTGCTGGTTCTGAGACGCAGAAGCCTTTGTTGAGGAGGGCACTACGGGTCCTCCCCTCGACAGCCAGCAAGGCAGAGGGACCTCAGTCCTACAGCCAGTGGAACTGAATGCTACCAGTATCTGAATGAGCAGGAAACCAAGTCTCCCCTCAAGCCCGCCGGAAGGAATGCAGCACTGCCAACACCTGGATGTTTTTGCCCAGGTGGATCTGGCCCGTGCTGGATCCCGACCTCCAGACCCTAGGGTCATACATTTATTTATGTTTTTAGCCTTTCGATTTGTGGTAACTTGTTATAGCAGCCATAGCAAACCACTGCAGTAAGCAAACAGGACTTTTTTGATTTGCTTTGTTTTGGATGATAACTACTCAGAGAACTGGTGTAATTACTTGAGCTCATGGAACAGAAGAGAACTAGTTGGCACAAATGTATAATACCTTGTAAGGAGAATAATTGAATAATTAACATGTATCCTAGGTTGTACGAGAAGCATTTTAAATGTTTAGTAGAATGCTCTAACCTTTTGCAGAAACTCAGAGGAAGGAAGGATAGATGGTTCCTTGACAGCAGATGGTGGCTATAAAAATGTATGAAATGCATGCCTGGAATACTCATGAGCATGTAGTTCAAAAAGTAAGACTGGTGAAGACTGCAGGAGGGAGAGGGAGCAGAATATGACGGGAAAATATCTCCCCCTCCCCCAACACACACACACGCTGGGCAGTGACATGCTGTGTTCTGATCAGAGAGGCCAGTGGGAGACCGCTGTCTGGGGTGGTGGTTCTGACCGCCTCATTCAGTGTCAGGGAAGAGAAGAAAGGCACCGGCCATTCCCCCACTTCCTTAGCTAGAGACCCAAGGGCGCCGAGTTCCAGAAGCCAAGAGGAGAAGCAGCCCACAGTTTGTAACTGGGGGCTTTGCCTGCCTGGCTCTGATCCGGCCTCAGCCTTGGGTTTAACGTCTATGATCTTGGAAGTCTGTAGGTGACAGACAGAGATTAAGATTGAAACCAGAGGTACAGCATGTCAAGGATCAATTGCTAGCCAGGACAGGAATATGGGAGAGTACTAAATATTGGTGATTTTTAATAAATGCCTTGTTTGTTCTCTTAATTACTAGATTTTTTTTTCTTTTTAATGCCAAGCTCTTCATTATCCACCAGCCGACTGCTGCCTTTTATTACAGATAGGCTGTCTGTGTACCTGAAAATCCAACTGGAAACCTGTATCTCACAGTGTGTGCATGGGTGTCCGTGTATCTGTGTCTTGTTACACGGTCTTGGATTATCACTTGTTTTTTGTGCATCTCCCAGTGTTCCTATTTAGGTCTGTCATTCCCTGATGGTGTCCTCTGAGGCTAATTACCTTTGAGCCTCAGTTTTCTCAACTGTGAAATGGAGATGAAAGCTAATCAGTGTTACCATGGCGAGTAAATTGAAAAAATCATGTAAAAGTGTGCTTGAAATAGTCAAGTCCTATAAGCTTGTTAATTACAGTCAATATTTAGTAAATAATGAACAAATAAGATAATAAGCCACACACATCACTGGTCAGCATCCCTGTGTGAGTCTGTCATGAAATTTTAAGGTCCCAGCTTTCTTTTTGCAGACTGGGTAGGCTTCACCCTTTCTTAAACATTTTCTTCTTTTATCCCTTATCTTTGGTCATGAGCAACGTGCTCACCTACATCTGTAAAATCTTGGGAAATGGATTATGACCAAGTTTTGCTGCCTTTAGGCATCTGATTTTTATACCTCTTCAACCACTGACCTGGTGTACATTCACCAATGTGCTTGTGTGATGATTCATACTTAAATTATATTAACTTCACTTTTGGTGGCATGAAAAAATTATTCTTTCATCTGATAGCTGCAATGATAGTTGATTATTTTCTGAGAACCTCTTTGGACCAATTATGTGGCCCAAAGACTCATTTTATTTGGGATTGGATTTCCATAGTATTTGGGATCTTATGTCCATGGTGATTTAATTCAGTGCTATGGTCTGAATGTTTGTGTTCTCCCCAAATTCCTGTGTTGAAATCCTAACCCCCAATATGATGGTATTTGGAGTCGGGTCTGTCGGAAGTGATTAGATCATGAGGGTGGAGCCCTCATGAATGGGATTAGTGCCCTTGTAAAAGAGACCCCGGAGAGCTCCCTCACCTCTTCTACCACATGAGGACATAGAAGTGGGTTCTCAGTAGACACTGAATCTGCCAGCTCCTTGATCTTGGACTTCTGATTTCCAGAACTGTGAGAAAATAAACTTGTGTCCTTTCTAAGCCACCCAGTCTGTGGTATTTTGTTGTAGCAGCCTGAGCAGACTGAGACAGGAACTTGGCACTGACAGGTGAGAATGCTGCTGTAACAAATACCTAAAAGTGTGGAAGCGGCTTTGGAGCTGAGTAATGGGCAGGGGCTCAATGAGTTGAGAGGTGCATGTTAGAAAAAGCCTGCATTGCCGTCAGTGATTCTGGTGACGACTCGGAAAGAAAAAAACAAACCGTAGAGAGAGCCTCCATCTTCTTAGAGAGACCTGGATAGTAAAGGCCATAGTGATGAGGTCTCAGACGGAAGCGAGGAAATGTTATCAGACAATGGAGGAAAGGTCACCCGTGTTATACATTGACCAAGAATAGCAGGATTATGTTCATGTCCTTGTGTTCTGGGGATGGTAGAACTTGCAAGTGATGACACTGGATATTTGATGAGGTGATTTCTAAGCAAAGTGTTGAAGGAGCAGCCTGGTTTCTCTTGGCTACTTAGAGTAAAACGCGAGAAGAGAGAAATACTTAAAGATGGAATTGTTCCTCAGAAGCAAAGCAGAACTTAAAGATTTGGAGTATTCTCAGCCTATGCATACTGAAGAGAATAAGAGAGCCTGTTTAGGACACAACAGGAAGGGTGTGGCCATCTGGCCAGATAACCTTGTGATAAGGAGGTTCGATGAGTTGGCCGTCTAGACAGAAGCTAGGACCTATATGTAGTCCAAGACCATGGACAAAGGCCATTCAGAGATCATCAGGGCAGCTCCCTTCCACCAGAGGCCCCCGAGTGCCAGGACCCCCGCCAGCACAGGGCACTGCAGAGACGTCCCACTAGGGCAGAGCCCTGCAGAGCCATGGGGGCAGGGCTGAGCTCCACATTGCCCCATAACCCCATACTGTAGAGCACTGATTCCAGCCCTGGGGAGCATCGGCCAGGAGGCCCAGGCACAGAGGCAAATACTTCTCATGGGTCCTTAGCAACTCCTTGATTTGTGGGCCCGTGTACATATTGTGCCCTGAATGTCCCAATGTAATACATCTTGCACCTCAACTCACTCATTTTAAGCTCCAGATTTTATACTGGGCTATCCTTCTGCAGAAGGAAACATGCAATCAGGAAATCCAAACATATTTCAGTACTAGCCTCCTGCAACGCATACCTAGGGAAGTAAACCCTTTATTTAAAAGAAAGTCGTACGCCACCTCCACAGCTCAGCAGCAATGACTTTGAAACTAACCGTGCCATGGAGGGGGAGGGATAGTGTTCTGGCACTTGTCTGAATTGGTACAAATCATCGAATTTGTGTTTAAAAGTGACACCCCATGTATGTGCTCTGAGATGGTCTTTTGTCATCCGTGAACGCTCTTTGACACACATACACCCAGGAAGGCGTTCCTGCAGAATGCTGTCCCCCACCCTGTCTCCATTGCCAGGATGTCCTGAATTGCCTTGCACACAGTGAGCATGCTCTTACAGCAAGACCTTCTCATGTTTAGCCCTGTGAAGGTGAAATAAGGACTGAATTTAAGATTGGTCATTATCTTGAAGACTGGGTAAGATAAATTTGAATCTGTCTTTGAATTTCAACTACACCAGCAGGTTCTGAATACACAGCCAGATTCTCATTAAACTCCACAGTCAACTTCAGGCATAAATGAAACTGGTTGACAATTTATCCTCTAAGGAAGCCAGGCCACATAATTTTCTAAACATCCCTTTTCTATAAAATGGAAAATGGAAAAAGCTAGTCCGAACGTGTATTGAATACACACTTGGCAATGCTTTATACAATTGCTATAGGAAGTCGCTGACGTTTACTTTTATCCTTGTGTGTTTGGTGAGAAGGAAACAGAAACTAAATCAATGGTTTAACATACATGTAATTCTTAAAGTGCTGGGCTAAGTGACAGGGCAGGACACTAACTAGGTCCCTTCCCTCCTGTATTGACGTCCTCAACAAAAACAGTCTGCAGACATGGCTAAATGTCCCCAGGGGGCTCAGACCCCTGCCCCCCCAACTTGAGAACCACTGCCCTAGATGTATCGATATTTGTTGGTGAGAAACATTTCACTGGAACACCAGTGAGGTAAGACAGTAAAAGCATGTTGAGGCGTAATAGTACATATTTCATGAACTGTCTCCCGCCTTTGAAAATCCTGTTTGTTTGCAGTAAAATGGCAGTAAGCTGACATCGAATAAGACAAGCCGCTTAGTTCCTGACTATCAAAAGCTAATTTTCCCACTAACCATAGTTTGATATACAAATCACTAGCCCGTATAAACTATGACAGAACAAATACACTGATTTTGGGGGAAATGATGGGTATTTTCCAGTTCATTGCACTTTTCATATCAGTTCAGAGGATTCTTACTGTTACTATCTGTATCAAAGTAATTGGGTAGCATTTTTCATCTAAACAGCTCAAAAAGTTCTAAGCATTAACTTGTGAACTTCACATTATAACTTGACACACGGGAGGTAAAAAACCCATATAATTCTGTTTCTAAGGGTAGTGATTTTTTTTCTTTTTTCTTTTTTTTTTTTTTGCAGGACACATGTCTGCTTGTTATAGTGAAGTAAGTCCTTACAGTTATAGAGTGTGTTTGGCTGTTTAAAGACGTCTGAGTACTGTAATTTCCCAATATGTGTGCTATCCACAAATTGTTGCAGTTATCGCTATGGTGCAGTGTTGCATTTTTGCTGAATAACTTCATTAAATTGCTGCATTGTGCTTGCAGAACGTACCTAGGGTCTGTAATTATTTTTTTAAAGGAGTAGCCAACTGATGATAGGGCCAGATTAGTTAGGGTGAAGGCAGTGACCGTAAGTGTGAACAGCCTTGCTCTGAAAAATGCTCAGCTGCCCAGGTCGGGGCTACCAGGGGGCTGACGAGGTTGGGCCTGAAGAGGCTTAGTTTCTATCCTGTCGGCCCCGTGGATGGATGTGATCTTCCGCAAATCACCGGAGAGGATGCTCACTCCTGCTTGGCGTCTTTGCGGAGAGGGTGTGGGTAATGTCATGGGGGCCCCACACCGAAAGCTGAGTTTTTGAAATGAATGCCTAAGTGGGGGGCTCGTTTGCATTGACCCTTCTTAGAAGGCTGAGAAATCTTGTGCAAGGGTGTCTTCATACCATGGCTTAATGCTTTGCTCTCAACACCTTACGGTTCTGAATACCTGCATTTTCACTCCACACGGGGCCCAGATGTTGTGTAGCTGATTCTGGCACCCAGCATCAGCCTGGCACAGCAGAGATGTGCAGTAGCACCTGGCATGATCCGTTCTTGTCTCCTGCTAGAGTCCCTTCGTTGTGCTTTGACACCATTGAGTTTGCTTCTACTCCAATCTGAAGCCCCGCCATGCTTCTCGGGCCAGCTGTCAGGGGCCCGTGGCTGAGGCCATGCTTGCACCCAGGACCGATGCCCTGGCGCTCACGTACACCAGCAGCATGGGAGGATGCTGTTTCCCCACTATGGAGGGTCTTCATTCCTACTGTGGAGAAGGGGGAGGTACCTGCAGGTATCAGTAGCATCTGGCTGTGAAGGAGATGCAGACCCTTTCCCGTCTGTGGGATCTTTGGTCACTAGGAGCCATCGCATAAGAAAGTCTGTGCCAAGTCCCAGTGGTGTCGCAATACAGTTGTGTCAGGTCGCTGCCCACAGAGGAGTGTCCTATAGAAATCACGTTATGCTGGTGACTGGGTCTCTCATTTACTTGCACTTCAGAATAAATCAGCTATTTTTAAAAACTTTTATTGGCGTATCGTTGCTTTACAATGTTGTGATACTTTCAGGTGTACAGCAAAGTGAGTCAGCTATACGTATACATGTATCCCCTCTTTTTTGGATTTCCTTCCCATTTAGGTCACCACAGAGCAGTGAGTAGAGTTCCCTGAGCTATACAGTAGGTTCTCATTAGTTATCTATTTTATACATAGTATCAATAGTGTATATATGTCAATCCCAATCTCCCAGTTCATCCCATCCCCCACTTTCCCCCCTTGGTATCCATAAGTTTGTTCTCTACATCTGTGTCTCTGATTCTGTTTTCCAGATAAGATCACCTATACTATTTTTCTAGATTCTACATATATGCGTTAATATACAGTATTTGTCTTTCTCTTTCTGACTTACTTCACTCAGTATGACAGTCTGTAGGACCATCCACATCTCTACAAATGACCCAGTTTCCTTCCTTTTTATGGCTGAGTAATATTCCATTGTATATATGTACCACAACTCTTTTATTCATTCCTCCGTTGATGGACATTTAGGTTGCTTCCATGTTCTAGCTCTTGTAAATAGTGCTGCAATGAACATTGGGGTGCATGTGTCTTTTTGAATTATGGTTTTCTCTGGGTATATGCCCAGTAGTGGGATTGCTGGGTTTTGAGAGCAACCTCACAAATCATACTTAAAGCATTCTTTCTTTGGGGGAAATGCCCTCTGATCTCTAAAGAATTCTAAGTGGATGATGTACAAATCATTTTGGGGACAGTAATCCAGTTCTGAATAATATCTACTTGGAAAAAAAATCTCGTGAACTCTTTGATAACAAACAGCCATGGAGTCTTCAATTATCAATTGAAGGATTGGAGCTTAAGTATTCCATATCTAATACTGTATCTTTCCAAATAGAACACTAGCGATTTGAAAACTGCATTGCAGAATAAAACTTGTACATGTCAGAAAAGCTCCCAGAACTCAGCTTCTTCTGTGGGAAGAAACGGTAATATTTTAAATGGCAATCTTTTTCGACTTTTTAAATGGAAGATAAAGTATAATTGGTGCCCCTCCCTGCCAGTGTCTCATTACATATCCAGGCCATGTAACTAGCCCATGAAATGTGCTATATCCTGGTGACATAAATGAAAACATCCCCTGAGCCGTAATAACCAGAGGGGTTTGTTTCTCTGGAAGATAGAGTGAAACTTTCAAATAATTCTTACAGTGTAGGGTAGAACATTGTAAATAACTTACTTGCAACCTGTACACACTCAGGAATTTGGACTTACCTGGACTTTAATTGTGTAATGACTTGGCTGTCTACAATTTAAGTGCCAGTATTACTCGGGTGAAGTGGATGGGGTTGGAGAACAATGAATTGTGCATATCTCTTTAAGGTCTTTTCTGATATCCATAAATGTTATCTTCTATTTAAGTGTGTCCCACTGGGCCCTTGAAATACATGGAACTTATTTTATTGTTATAGTAAATTTTTGTACATTTAAAAGATTTTAATTTCATAGTAGGTGACATGAAATATATCATAGGAGTGTTAATGCCTCCTTTCACAAGCTGTTTCTTTCTCCATCTAGGTCCTGTTAGCCAGCAGCTTTGTGCCCATTTACGCAGGACTAAAACCAGTGGAATACAAAGGGCAGGTAAGATGCTTACAACTGACAAATGATCAGTAAATCCCGTGTTCATATGTTTCCTTCGAAAGATCCAATTGTACTATTATTCTGGTGGCTCCAACTTCATTTGTATGACTTGTTTCCCCATAGTTTTGTTTCTGTTTAGCAGAAAAAACAAAAAAAATCAAGTGCAGGTGCTGTGGTGCCCTATCTCCTGCACACTTACACACACACCGATAACAAGACACAGTATCTATTCAACACACACCTGAGTTAAAAGTTGTGCGATCAAACACAGTAGCTATTTAATACATAAACCAGAGATATGCATCTCAGAACCAAATGCAGTATCTATTTAACCCACACCAGAGATACGTACTTTTTGTCATCAAATACACTCTTTAACACCTACTCAAGATCAGGCACATGTTCATGGATGATTAATGCCATTTGTTTTATATATACATGGTATGTACGTATTCATTCATAAATGTGTACAGGAAAAGTGTTTAATAGCTGTCATTCATTCTTTCACTTTGAAGGCCCAGCAAAGGGCCTGTGCTCAGTGAAGGCATGATCTTACAACCAAGGAACTGACTTTTGCAAATCTCTTAGCTAATGTGATTGGGGATCTGTCTGTGTTCTGACCTTGTCAGGCCTTGTGATTTTCTTTCTCTGAGTTTTCCTGGTCATTCCCGCCCTTTTCTGTGCTTCTCGTAGGATCCTTGGCCCAAAGCAGTCTGCCCTGGGACGGTTGTCTCAAACGGGAAGATGAGGATGAGGTTGAGTAACTGGATGAGGCCATGTAGATGGACAGCCTAAGAGTGGACCGTCAGGTCCAACTTGGACTCTCTTTATTACCTATATGCATACAGTATGTTATTTGCAGTGATGGGCTTACATATTGTAGGCTAAAACCCTCTTTGTGACCAAGTAGAAACGTAATATACATTGAATTTTTTAAAGCAGCATAAAATAAACATACACTCATGGAAACCGAGGTGTTTTGTTTTTCTTTTTTTTTTTTAATGTTTTTATTTTATTAATTTATTTTTGGCTATGTTGAGTCTTCGTTACTGTGTGCAGGCTTTCTCTAGTTGTGGTGAGCAGGGGCTGCTCTTTGTTGCAGTGCGTGGGCTTCTCACTGCACTGGCTTCTCCTGTTGCAGAGCACAGGCTCTAGGCACATGGGCCTCAGTAGCTGTGGCACGCAGGCTCAGTAGCTGTGGTTCACAGGCTCAGTAGTTGTGGCACACGGGCTTAGTTGCTCCGTGGCATGTGGGATCTTCCCGGACCAGGGCTCGAATCTGTGTCCCCTGCATTGGCAGGCAGATTCTTAACCACTGCGCCACCAGGGAAGCCCCGGAGGTGTTTTCTTCTTGTTGTTTTCGTTTTTTTTTTTTTTTTTTTCCCTATTTTGGATACTGCCTCTCAGAGCTAGCAGATACTCAGTTACCAAGGAGTATGATCTTTGCTGTCATTAGAAACTTGGAGAGGTATCCCCCTTTACATAATGATTTTAAAGTAAGTTAAGTAGCATTTTCTCTTAGAGCCATAAAAAAATCAACATTTGTTTTTACGTATAAATTTCGAATACAGATGCTATCAAAATCAACTTTACATTATGATTATGAACTTTAATTTTATGATCTGAAATGTAATGATTTTACTTCACGCTATTGCTTGATAATTTATAATCATGACAGAAATGGCTAAATGGTAGAAAAAAATATGCAAAATGCTCAGGTGTTTCATGAGATTGTATATGATCATGAAAAGGGGATTCAGAATCCAAGAATCAACAGAATTTCTGTTGTGATAGATAAATTAAGAGGTGGTGACTGAGAACGTGGGATGTAGGTATAGTAAGGAAGTGATGGAAAGGAGATGGGGTGGGGGAAAAGGAGGGATGGAATCAAGGCTAGAACAGAGCTGAGTCCCAGAAGCCTAGTATATTCTAAGACGATGCTGAACATGTCCTGTGTTTAAATAGTAATCACTATATTATGAAGGAGGTGCAGGTGGTAATGGCTCCTAGCTTCTTCCAACATACACTGTCCTCTTCTTCCTTAGTAACAGAAACCCAGATTTTTTCTGAGCCTGTTACCGTGTAGCTAAAAGGCCACATTCTCCACCTTCCCTTGCAGCTAGGTGTGGCCATCCCCTTACATGCTGGCAGTGAGAGGTAGGCTGAATTACTGTGGGACTTACAGGAAGGGAGGTTGTATACCTTTCTTTCCTTCCTGCTGCCTGGAACTTAGATGTGATGATGACCAGAGCTCTGGCAGCTGTTGTGGATCATGAGGTCACAGATCATACCCTAGATAGAGACAAATAATGAGATGGAAAGACCTGGGCCCTGAGTGACTTGAGGAGGGGGACCTTACCAGGCCACCTTCTGTATTTCTTTTACCAGGAAAAGTAAAACTTCCTGTTTTTATTGCTTTCTATTGGATGCATTAGAGTCCACTCCCATGTGCTGTAGGGATTATTACCCCCGTATTTTACAGATGAGGAAATTGAGTTGTAGAAACATTCATTCACTTCACTGAGGTCACCAAGCTTAGTAAGGGGGCAACTTTCCCAGGATGATCTCTAATGTTTGCATCTGTGCTGTGCCTCTTGCTTTACTTTGCCTTGGTCATTCCTTTAAAAAAAAACATCTCCCTTATTTTATTTCTGTCCCGCCCCATCCCCACTGCTCCAGGTTTATGACCGGAAGCCTAGGAATAGTTAAAGGGTGAGATGTTCTCAGTTGAATTTCCTGCTATGTGATTGAATACTTAGACGGGAACATGAAAGGTCAGCCTCAGTTCAACAGGGAATGCAGCACCTGGAGGTGTGAGAAAAAAGGGACCTTGGGAGGCGGGACACGGCCTTGCTGATGACTGACATCTGTGCACAGTTGGCACGTCATAATTACTTGTTGAATAGAACCTAATGTCTCCAGAAAGCGTTCGGTTTACCTTGGGTGTTTAATGAAGCCCAGGAAGAGGGGCCCCCGTGCACACAATGATTGACAGTGTGCTCCTCGGAGACCTTGCTTCGTGTCTACAGCCATACAGTGGCGACTTGCCAGTGCCCTTGTGTGCTTGCTATGGACTCTGTCAGGCCCCTCCCTTCCCTCAGCTGAATACGCTTTCTAGACCAGGTTAGTCTGTAGAGGTGGGAATGGGGGACTGACCTGGAGGAATGTATTACCAACAGTCAGAGAATCATGGCCAGGAGTATATAAAGTGCAGAATTTTAAACCGTCTGTACCACACGCAGTATATTTGCACGGAGGAATGTTGGCTGCTGTTGGCGTCATTTCTAGAAGTTTTGCTAGAATCTGAGTGCCCGAGTGTGTGTGTGTGGTTGTTGGGAGTGATACAGCTCAGGAGCTCATGAACCAGGAGTAAGATGCACACTGCATTTAGAACTGAGCTGGTGGGGTTATGGTGACAGAGGAGTCAGTAACGCTGAAAATTGAATCAAGTCATTTGATAAGCTGTCTGTTTTCCCTAGCCATTTATCCAATCACAATAAGCTAACAAGAGCGAACGAAACTGGGAGAAAAAGATTTTCAGTTCCCTGAGACCTCAGTCATTTAAGCCCTATGGTAGATTAGAACACTTTGCAATTTAATGAGCCAGACTGCCCTTCTTTTCCTTAAGTTGAATAAATCAGGTGAGCTCTCAGTTAAGTTATATGACCCTTGGTACCTATTTTTAATTTCCCTTGATGAAACCTGTATGAATTTTTACATCATTGGTGAGATGTTCCACTGAGGATAAGAAAGGTAATTTTGGAAGGTGTCTTTTTGTTCTCTCTCTAGGTACTATCCTATTCCAGAAGTTGGTGTCTACACCCAAAGCAATCAGGGAAGAAAAAAAAAGCTCCAGGTCAATAAGGCACAGAACCAGATATCTGGGGGCCTTCTCACTACAAACCTCCCTTTTTTAGACTGTGTTTGTATAGTCGTGTGCGTGTGTATATATGTATGCATATTTCCACATACACATACTATACACAAACATATATGTGTGCTCTATAATAAACATATGTGTTTTGTTCTTTTAAAAATAATGGCAATAAGCGAATTATCTAGGTCAGGTTCATTTTAATCTAATCTATTTATGTTTTCTCCTCCACCAAAATGCAGTTCCCTCAACAGAAATTTTCAACACATTTTCACCTTTTATTTACTTACTTTTATTCCCTCTGGGGGGAGTTGGTGGCTGGCTGAGGCCTTTGTAAACAATGCTGTACTGATCATTTAGTAACCAGCTCTAGAAATCAAAACAAGAAGGATTTTTAAAAAGACATGTTAGAGAAGAGGAATGAACAGTTTTAACTGAGTTAAGGATGCTTTATTTTTTATATTTTTGGCTATGTTGGATCTTCGTTGCTGGGCGTGGGCTTTCTCTAGTTCCGGGGAGCAGGGGCTACTCTTTGTTGTGGTGCGCGGGCTCAGTAGTTGTGGCTCGCGGGCTTCGGTAGTTGCAGCACGTGGGCTTCAGTAGTTGCGGCACATGGGCTCAGTAGTTGTGGTGCACGGGCTTAGTTGCTCCGCGGCATGTGGGATCTTCCTGGACTAAGGATCAAACCCATGTCCCCTGCATTGGCAGGTGGATTCTTAACCACTGCGCCACCAGGGAAGCCCCAGGATGCTTTATTCTAACTGGTTTCTTGCTCATCACCCCACCTTCTTGCTTTCTCCACAAAAGATTCTTTTGTGCAGCATTCTCCACACTTTCCAGCCCCCCGCTTTTTTTCTCACATCACCTGCAGGGTATTTCCAATTCAGATACAGCTGGGAGCATTTGAACTTCAGTGTTGCATGTTTGCTTATTTATTTATTGTTAGAGCTGATTCGGTTAACATGTGGGCTCAAGGAAAGATGGAGACTCTTTTGCCTTGAAACAGTGTAAGGAGTATTATCTTTGTGTTTCTTCAGTCCTTTCCCAGTGTACAATTCTGCACAAGCCTCTAGAAGCTTCTCTGACCTGCTCTGTCCACGCCTTTCCTTAGGGCTTGGGTCTGAAAGCACAGAATGTCTTCTGAGTGATGTTCCTGTTGAACACAGCACCTCTCCTCTCCAATTCTTCAAGGCTTGAAGACGTTACATACTCAGGAACCGCTGTGGAAATGGAAGGGTTTCTGGCAGTGCTATTTATTTTGAAGTTTACTACAGAAAATGCCGATTTCCAGTTCTTAGGATAAAAGTAGAACCTCCTGGGACTTCCCTGGCAGTCCAGTGGTTAAGACTCTGTGCTTCCACTGCAGGGGGCCACAGGTTCCATCCCTAGTCGGGGAACTAAGATCCCACAAGCCACAGCAGCACAAACTCCTGTTTTGGGGACGGTTTGCTCAGTGTCAGAGTAAACCTGACTTTATCTAGCATTCTGATTAGATAATGAATCCCAGCCTAATTACACGTGGCTTCTTATGCCAGCACCGTCATCAGTAAAAATTTAGGTACTTCTTATGTGAAATGATCTACTTAAAGCTTTTAAACAATTGGAGAGACGTCCTGATTCCGTTCAGGGTTCTTATTATATGGGTTAATGATATGCATACAAAGATTTGCTTTGCTTCCAAAACAAATCTAATCTGACGGGTCCTGATAAATCGTAAGTTAAGGGCGTTCCCAAGCCATGCCTTGTTAGAAGGAAAGAGTCCTTTTGGGGAAATGCATGCTCATTTTCTTCACGTGGGAGGGATGTTGTCGACAGGTGCTGATGAGCTGTGTGCTTTCCACAGAAGTGGGTAGACGGAGGCTTTACCAACAGCCTGCCCCTCCTGCCTGTAGGCCGGACAGTGACTGTCTCAGCATTCAGCGGGCGAGTGGACATCTCCCCGCAGGACGAAGGGCCGCTGGATTTCTACGTGACCATCGCCAAGCAGGAAATACTGGTGAGTAATGATGTTCACTGATAACTGAAGACTCCTCATCTCCGAAAACTTTCCACATGCTTCCAGAACTTTGGCAACTCAGTTTTATGTACAAATTGCATAAATATTTTAAATAATCCACATGTGTCATGCATATGGACATGACTGTTACTATCAAGAGTCTATTTGTGAAACATTTTCCATTTCTTCACTTATTTTTCAGGTCAGTATACTGGGCAGGATTTCAGTGCACTTTTAAATTAGATCACTTAATTGTTTTAAAAGATGGCAGGAATTAAGTAGGTAAGAGATAAACTTAGGACCTAACAGAATAACTTAAATAAAAGTGTGGATTCCCTTAATCGCGTCGAATAGCTCTCAACAGGAGGTGATATTGTACGCAGGAGACACTGGCAGTGTCTGGAGACGGTTTTGGTCATCACGTCTGGGGTGTGTGCTGGCATCTAGTGGGTGGAGCCCGGGGATGCTACTCAGCGTCCTACAGTACACAGGACGGCCCCACCACAAAGAAGCATCTGGCCCAAAATGTCAGTGGTCCCCAGGCTGAGAAACCCTCATGCAGTGTATGGGTGGGGGTGAATTTTTAGATTTAATTTTCTTCCTCCTGATTTGTTTTTAAATTGCTAATAGCATCTATGATAAGAAAGCTTCGGTTACAGAGATGCTGTCCATTTACCTGTACCGTAATATCCTCCAGCTTCCATTTGTCTTTCTATCCTAGCTGTCCATGGCAAACTTGGTGAGGCTTCACCAAGCCCTTTTCCCACCAAGCGAGACGACAATGGAATCACTATATCATCGTGGCTTTGATGACGCCATCAAGTTTTTACTTAAAGAAAGTTGGTTTGAATACAACGCTTAAGACTTTAAAACGCAAAACACATTTCAGACCGTTCTTGATGGAGGTTTCTAATTAAATCCTTTTTTAAAAGCCTATCATAACTGTTTTGTTATTAGTTTTTGTAATATTTGTAATTTTTAATATTTAAATCATTACTTTGTGCAAGGAAATGAGGCATTTTGGTTGAATTTGGCAATGTCATTAAGAAGGTTACACTCAGGTGATAAGGAATCGTTTTAAGAGAACCACCACATCCTTTGAAAGCCCGTTGGAAATGTAAGGGGTTCTCTGGGGAAACCATGGAATGCTGAAAATGAGGTTCGTGGTGTACACATTCTCTGCACGGATAATTTGGCAGCACCCTTTAGACGTGATGCACGGGTGTTTCCAGGAGACACCAGTGTCCGGTAGTTCCAGAATGGAAGGAAGCATGTTCTCAGGCTGTACCCCACTCCCTCTCAGGCGGGCCAGGAAGGATGTGAGAAATAGTCAGCATCATGAAAGGCCTTTAACAAGGGGTGGAGCAACAAAGGCTTGCTTTTCCTAGGTGTGCACAGTTGTTTCTGGGGTGGAGGTAGAAAGGTGAATAGCAGAGAGTAACCGGAAGCCCAGAGTTTGAAATTAGGTATGTCTTCCTTAGCCCTCGCCCTCCGGAAACGTGCTTGCCAGCTAATGTGATCGTCAGGCTCTTCTGACGCCTCCCTGTTGTTAATATTCTCTGTCCTTATCTCCCCAGCTCTTTCTCTGTCCTGGTTTCTCTATATTTCTCTCCCTATTCCTTCAAGGCCATACTTCACCAAGTGTTCAGCCATTACTCTGTGTACCAGACATAGGTACTCTAAGAACTTAAATGGATAAGATACCACTAGACACGAAGAGCCAAGTCAACCGAGTAGCCTAGCAAATAACAATTCAATCCAGAATCATCATTCCTTCATTATTTTTAATTCATGCTATACTGACCCCAGGTCTTGCATTTTTTATTTTTTTTTATTTTATTTTTATTTTTTTTTTAACAACTTTATTGGGGTATAATTGCTTTACAATGGTGTGTTAGTTTCTGCTTTATAACACAGTGAGTCAGTTATACATATATATATGTTCCCATATCTCTTCCCTCTTTGTCTCCCTCCCTCCCACCCTCCCTATCCCACCCCTCCAGACAGCCACAAAGAACCGAGCCAGTTTCCCTGTGCCATGCGGCTGCTTCCCACTGGCTATCTACCTTACGTTTGTTAGTATATATATGTCCATGTCTCTCTCTCGCCCTAACACACCTCACCCTTCCCCCTCCCCATATCCTCAAGTCTGTTCTCCAGTAGGTCTCTGTCTTTATTCCTGTTTTACCCCTAGGTTCTTCATAACATTTTTTTTTTTCTTAAATTCCATATATATGTGTTAGCATACGGTATTTGTCCTTCTCTTTCTGACTTACTTCACTCTGTATGACAGACTCTAGATCTATCCACCTCATTACAAATAGCTCAATTTCGTTTCTTTTTATGGCTGAGTAATACTCCACTGTATATATGTGCCACATCTTCTTTATCCATTCATCCGACGACAGGCACTTAGGTTGTTTCCATCTCCGGGCTATTGTAAATAGAGCTGCAATGAACATTTTGGTACATGACTCTTTCTGAATTCTGGTTTCCTCAGGGTATATACCTAGTAGTGGGATTGCTGGGTCATATGGTAGTTCTATTTGTAGTTTTTTAAGGAACCTCCATACTGTTCTCCATAGTGGCTGTACCAATTCACATTCCCACCAGCAGTGCAGGAGTGTTCCCTTTTCTCCACACCCTCTCCAGAATTTATTGTTTCTAGATTGTCTGTTGATGCCCATTCTAACTGCTGTGAGGGGATACCTCGTTGTAGTTTTGATTTGCATTTCTCTAATAATTAGTGATGCTGAGCAGCTTTTCATGTGCTTCTTGGCCATCTGTATGTCTTCTTTGGAGACATGTCTGTTTAGGTCTCTGGCCCATTTTTGGATTGGGTTGTTTGATTCTTTAATATTGAGCTGCGTGAGATGCTTGTAAATTTTGGAGATTAATCTTTGGCATTTGCTTCATTTGCAAGTATTTTCTCCCATTCTGAGGGTTGTCTTTTTTTTTTAAACATCTTTATTGGGATATAATTGCTTTACAACGGTGTGTTAGTTTCTGCTTTATAACAAAGTGAATCAGTTATACATATACATATGTTCCCATATCTCTTCCCTCTTGCATCTCCCTCTCTCCCACCCTCCCTATCCCACCCCTCCAGGCGGTCACAAAGCACCAAGCTGATATCCCTGTGCTATGCGGCTGCTTCCCACTAGCTATCTACCTTACGTTTGGTAGTGTATATATGTCCATGGCTCTCTCTTGCTTTGTCACAGCTCACCCTTCCCCCTCCCCATATCCTCAAGTCTGTTCTCCAGTAGGTCTGTGTCTTTATTCCTGTCTTACCCCTAGGTTCTTCATGACAATTTTTTTTCTTAAATTCCATATATATGTGTTAGCATTTGTCTTTCTGACTTAATTCACTCTGTATGACAGACTCTAGGTCTCTCCACCTCATTACAAATAGCTCAATTTCATTTCTTTTTATGGCTGAGTAATATTCCATTGTATATATGTGCCACAGCTTCTTTATCCATTCATCCGATGATGGGCACTTAGGTTATCTCCATCTCCGGGCTATCGTAAACAGAGTTGCAATGAACATTTTGGTACATGACTGGTGAGCTGCTTCTAAATTTTGGAGTTTAATCCTTTGTCTACTTGCTTCATTTGCAAATATTTTCTCCCATTCTGAGGGTTGTCTTTTCTTGTTTACGGTTTCCTTTGCTGTGCAAACGCTTTGAAGTTTCATTAGGTCCCATTTGTTTATTTTTGTTTTTATTTCCATTTCTCTAGGAGGTGGGTCAAAAAGGATCTTGCTGTGATTGATGTCATAGAGGGTTCTGCCTATGTTTTCCTCTAAGAGTTTGATAGTTTCTGGCCTTATATTTAGGTCTTTAATCCATTTGAGCTTATTTTTGTGTATGGTGTTTGGGAGTGTTCTAATCTCATACTTTTACATATAGCTGTCCAGTTTTCCCAAAACCACTTATTGAAGAGGCTGTCCTTTCCCCACTGTACATTCCTGCCTCCTTTATCAAAGATAAGGTGACCATATGTGCATGGGTTTATCTCTGGGCTTTCTATCCTGTTCCATTGATCTATATTTCTGTTTTTGTGCCAGTACCATACTGTCCTGATTACTGTAGCTGTGGAGTATAGTCTGAAGTCAGGGAGCCTGATTCCTCAGGATCCGTTTTTCATTCTCAAGATTGCTTTCGCTATTCAGGGTCTTTTGTGTTTCCATACAAATTGTGAAATTTTTTGTTCTAGTTCTGTGAAAAATGCCAGTGGTAGTTTGATAGGGATTGCATTGAATCTGTAGATTGCTTTGGGTAGAAGAGTCATTTTCACAGTGTTGACTCTTCCCATCCAAGAACATGGTATATCTCTCCATCTATTTGTATCATCTTTAAATTCTTTCATCAGTGTCTTATAATTTTCTGCATACAGGTCTTTTGTCTCCTTAGGTAGGTTTATTCCTAGATATTTTATACTTTTTGTGGCAATGATAAATGGAAGTGTTATCTTAATTTCACTTTCAGATTTTTCATCATTAGTGTATAGGAATGCCAGAGAATTCTGTGCATTAATTTTGTATCCTGCTACTTTACCAAATTCATTGATTACCTCTGGTAGTTTTCTGGTAGCATCTTTAGGATTCTCTATGTATACTATCGTGTCATCTGCAAACAGTGACAGCTTTACTTCTTCTTTTCTGATTTGGATTCCTTTTATTTCCTTCTCTTCTCTGATTGTTGTGGCTAAAACTTCCAAAACTGTATTGAATAAGAGTGGTGAGAGTGGGCAACCTTGACTTGTTCCTGATCTTAGTGGAAATGCTTTCAGTTTTTCACCATTGAGGATGATGTTGGCTGTGGGTCTGTGATATATGGCCTTTATTATGTTGAGGTCAGTTCCCTCTGTGCCTACTTTCTGCAGGGTTTTTATCATAAATGGGTGTTGGATTTTGTCGGAAGCTTTCTCTGCATCTATTGAGATGATCATATGGTTTTTCTCCTTCAATTTGTTAATATGGTTAATCACATTGATAGATTTGCGTATATTGAAGAATCCTTGCATTCCTGGAATAAACCCCACTTGATCATGGTGTATGATCCTTTTAATGTGCTGTTGGATTCTGTTTGCTAGTATTTTGTTGAGGATTTTTGCATCTATGTTCATCAGTGATATTGGCCTGTAGTTTTCTTTCTTTGTGACATCCTTGTCTGGTTTTGGTATCAGGGTGATGGTGGCCTCTTAGAATGAGTGTGGGAGTGTTCCTTCCTCTGCTATATTTTGGAAGAGTTTGAGAAGGATAGGTGTTAGCTCTTCTCTAAATGTTTGAAAGAATTCACCTGTGAAGCCATCTGGTCCTGGGTTTTTGTTTGTTGGAAGACTTTTAATCACAGTTTCAATTTCAGTGCTTGTGATTGGTCTGTTCATATTTTCTATTTCTTCCTGGCTCAGTCTTGGCAGGTTGTGCTTTTCTAAGAATTTGTCCATTTCTTGCAGGTTTTCCATTTTATTGGCATAGAGTTGCTTGTAGTAATCTCTCATGATCTTTTGTATTTCTGCAGTGTCAGTTGTTACGTCTCCTTTTTCATTTCTAATTCTATTGATTTGAGTCTTCTCCCTGTTTTTCTTGATGAATCTGGCTAATGGTTTATCAATTTTGTTTATCTTCTCAGAGAACAACCTTTTAGTTTTATTGATCTTTGCTATCGTTTCCTTCATTTCTTTTTCATTTATTTCTGATCTCATCTTTATGATATCTTTCCTTCTGCTAACTTGGAGTTCTTTTGTTCTTCTTTCTCTAATTGCTTTAGGTGCAAGTTTAGCTTGTTTATTCGAGATGTTTCCTGTTTCTTAAGGCAGGAATGTATTGCTATAAACTTCCCTCTTAGAACTGCTTTTGCTGCATCCCATAGGTTTTGGGTCGTCGTGTCTCCATTGT